AGCCTGCCTGTCCGACCTGTGGGCGGAGGAGGTGGTCTGCCTCCACATTCTCCCTGCTGGTACCTTAGGGATCTGCCCCAGGGTAGAGGGGTCCTGTGGGCAAGTGGAGGTCACACGTGCTGACCAGACACCAGCCCTGTGGCGCGGCTCTCCAGCCGCTCCTTGCAGTTGGGCTTTGGGCCACTGAGAGTCCACAGGGTTCAATGTTTAATTGAGTGAGGTTAATGAGCTGGGAGCAGCCGTCAGAGCATCAGCAGGGAGAGGGGAGTTTGCAGAGGGAGGCTACCGGGGGTGCAGAGGCAGGCAGGCAGCGTGGGGCTCTCCGGCCATAATGGGGGGAGACAAGGGCTCACAAACCATGGCGCTCAGGAGTGTTGGCACGCGGGGGTCTTAAACACATTTGGGTTGGCAGACTCGTCTTTCTGAGGTGTAGGGCTTCCCGAAGGTTGAGGTCTCGGCTGTGGGGTGACCAGGGTGGAGTGAGCGGTGGTGGGATCTCCGGCCCGAGAGCCATCCTCCCGCGATGCCACGAGAGGGCAGCAGGTCCTCACGGACCGCGGTGGCCACAACTGCCCCGCAGCCCACGCTGTGGCAGGGCCCCAAGCCCCAGCAGAAACCCCACCGCCTGCTCTGGGCATCTCGGCAGAGGTGTCCCACGGGGTAGTGCCGGTGGTTGCTTGCAAGCCCCAGTGTTCACGCTTCTGGGGTCTGCACTCGTGAGCTGCGTCCCTCCCGGACAGGCTGTAGTTGTGCCTTTGCCCAGACTTCCCATGCGGGATGCCTCCCACGCCACGGGGAGGCTTTATTCCCCAAAAGATGGGTAGCAGTTCCTAGGTGAACTCTCTCTTGCAGCAGCCCTGGGGACGTGGGCGTTGCTGGCTACTTGGTGGTTTGGTGCAGCTGGGCAGCCCTGAATCTGTCCAGGCTCCTCATAGAGCCGGTGGTTACCTCGCTGATAGTATCTCACTGCAAGAGATATTGCCTCCGGGGCAAACACATCTATTGGTTTTCTTTCCAAGTCCCTTTCCATGAATTTGCCAACCAATGGAGTATTATTCCATCAGGTAATAAACAGAAAGCCTGTGCCAGTGGGTGTGTACTGGTCATAAATTCCCTGCCCTGCCCATGGTGGCACTAGGTCTGTCTAGCCAGAGGGTGGTGTAGAGAGAAGGTAGACCAGAACTGCCTCTTCCTTGCATGAAATGCAAAACCTAGGTCCTAAATCAGGCCCAGCTGAGCAGTTCATCAGTGCTGGGGTTAACCTGCTGAGCCTGGAGGAATCCCTACCTAGATCTATTCCTGACATTCTCTCTATGGCTTCACCTGGAGAGCCTTCTCCTCTTCTTGTTCCAAGCATTTCTGCTGTTGAAGAGCTACCTCATCCTACCTCTGATGTGGATGCATTCTTGTCGTAAGTGGAGTGATTCCCAGTTTTGAAATGACTTGGGAGCTTTTGGAAGAGGTGCTGTATAAAAGGCCGGACCACTAGCAAACCTCGCTTCTCCTGGGAGCTCTCAAGACAAGACAACACTCCAGTACAAAAGGATTAGGTATTACACTTTCGTTATTGCTACGGTGTTGATGTTATCATGCTTCCTTCTTGTCCAGGCAGTAGGAGGTGCTGCTGGTAACGCTGGAAGTGTTTCTCCACATCTGCAACTGCTGCGTCCCGAGCAGGGACTGCTGTACGGTGGGGTGATTAAATCCCACTGTGGCACAGAGCCAGGCACCCCAACAGGCGAGCGGTACTTCTGCACACTCTGCGCTGCTCGTCCTCCCTTTCTTATGCAAGGCTTGATGGTTGGCAAAAGGCTGTTATTTGATTTGTCTTGTTGTGTTGTTGTTTTCCTTTTTAAATACATATTTCAGACAAACAAACAAACTCATAACTCCCACAAGTTGCTGTGGTGGGTCTAACCACATCCGCGGTGCTGTGCTTTCAAACGGATTTTGCCAGGATTCAACTCAGCAACGTTAGCGCAAGCCTGTCCAGATGCAAGGGCTGATAAGATATCCCCCCATCCTCACTGCTGCTGCAGCTGCTTCAGCCAAGCCTCATCATCCTGCTGGAACAGGACCTTTGGAGCACCATAGCAGCAGTTACCTGCACAGCCCTTCCTCAGGAGTGAAACAGAGGCTTTGTAAGAGCAATCTGAGTGCCCTGGGAAGTTTTGTGTCTGATATGAGCTCATGCAATGTGAACCTGAACGCTGAAGCTGGGTTTGCTTACTCAGGACTGGACCCAGCTTGCAGTGAAGACAACAGGAGTGTGTCTTTGGCTTCACTGGCAGCTGGAGATGGCATTGCAATGGTACGTTGCAGGGTCTTGGTTCTGATTCTCTCCAATCTGATGTCAGAAATTCCCCTTGGCTTTGTCAGGAATGGCGTAGTGCTGCCTGTATTTTCCGTCACGAAGCAGCCGGTCAGCTGGGTCTCAGCACTGGCGAATGCTGTAGAGCGACTGGGTAACAGAAGCCAGACTCAGCCTCCAGGAACATGTGGGGTTTCTCCAGTTTTCTCCAGTTCTCTGTCAGATTTGCCGTGGGGAGAGTGGGCTGGACCCCAAGCCCCTTACTTGTGTGCAGGCAGCTGAGCAGAGAACCAAAACGCATCTTGGAGGTAGGAGAGAGGGAGACAGAGGGACTCTGATCCCTTCTCCCTGGGTGACAGTTGCAATGGCAGATCCAGGAGTAAAGGAGCGTGTTTAGGGGGAAAATACCTTCCAGATCTGAGTAACTCCTCTGAGTTACTGAGATGCTGTGAGTGGGGGGTGATATGGGTGGAAAGAGAAGGAAGCACAGTCTCCACCAAGGAAATCACCAGCTTTCTAGGGATAAAGCACCTGGTGCTAGTGCTATCCACCCCCTGAGCAAGTACAGATAAGGAGCAGCAGCACTTTCTCCTCACTGCCTCTCCCCAGCCCTGGAGGAGCTGGCTCACAAGCAGCATGTCCAGCTGGCACTCTCAGATAGGTTTTAATAGCAGAAACAGGGTGATTATTTTGTTAGGATTGTACTTAAGCCCCCAAAGCTCATTCCACAAAAGCTACCAGGGATTGCTATCCAGTGCTTATGACTCCCAAGTGTTTGGCTAGATGAGAGCTGGCGATTTGGCAGTGAAGCCTGTCTCCCTCTGCTGAGCCGTGTCCTATTTCATTTTCCTACTTTGGAGTTGTACTCAGAGCCTTTTTTGGTACAAGGGAGCACCATGGATCCCTCACCAGCACACTGAACCAGTAAGCTTGGCTGCAGTAACTCTTTACATCCCTAGAAAGCCAGTCTGCAAAGTAATCCTCTTGCCCAAAGTGACTGGGGCTTCAGTTGTTATAAAGAGCACTAAATGCAGGCAGATGTTTCCACCTTACCTATGAAGTCTGCTCTGCTGACAAGTCTACAAGAAGTCACCAGGTTCCATGGTTAATCTTCTGTTGCTGAGTGCATGGCTACTGTGGAAGGGGAGCTGTGCTACTCATAGTTTTCTACCTTAATTTGCAGACATCTATGCTTTCCTCTGTGCAGCTCCACTTGGTGACTGCTGCTCTTGACATCACTTTGCTCCATCTGAGTTTCCCTTAGCAGAAAGGAGGAACCCTTGCTTTCTCTCCCGTCCCTTTGGAGACCACCATCTCCACCTCCCACCGCTACCGTGCCCTTTCCCTGGGAGCGACAGGCAAAGGAGGCGGTGGGTGGTGTGGGATATGTTGGGCAAGCTCATGTTCATTTTCTTTTCTTGCTGAAGGGGCTGTGTTGTCAGGTTTGATGCTCAGCAACTGTCGCCCTTTTATTCCACTGAAAGATGGCTTGGTTAGAATTTGCTCATTCTTCCCATGAGAGCTTTGATCCCGCGCATAGAAGTGTTCTCTGACAGCCAGACAGCAGGGAAGGGCTGTCCCTAGCCTGGAGGGCTTCGGTAGTCATGAATGAATACTGTGTTTACTTGTATTTTTAATTGACTAGTGCCTTGCCAGATCAGCTGCATGTCACTGCAAGCCAAGGGCATTGAGACAATCCTTGTTCCTCTACAACTCCTTTGTTGGGACTGGGAAGTTGTTGCTGGAGGCAATGGGCATCCAGCTCATGGTGTTGGGAGGCTCATTTGGGCACAGGATGGAAAAAGACTTTTCTTCTATAGGTCTGTCACCAAGGTATGAAAGTTGGGACTTCCTTCTTGGATCAACCCAAGCGAAGTGTTGATAGATAGAAGAGTTTAAATGGAAGTGTAAGGACAATGGTGCGAGTCCTGTTGCCGTTGCTCAGGGTATTGCCAGGTGTGATACTTTCCTTGTCCTTAGCGAGTGTTTGGACCCAGACAGAACAAAGTAAGGCTCCCTGGGTTTATTGCCTTGTGGTTAAGACCACCAGGAAGTTTCACAATGGATTTCAAAGGCCTGAGTATCTCCTGAAAGCAGTGTTGACAGTGTCGTTTGGTAACGCTGCTGTCTGTTCCCTATGCGGTGAGTTCGTTCTGGTGCCCACTTACTCTCTCTGCCAAGGGCCTTCATCCCACCGTGCAGTGTCTTTGCAGCCTCCTTTGGATCCATCTCAGTGCCCTGGATAATGTATCACCTGAGGGAGGGAGCTAAGGACCATGGGGACGAGAGAGGGCTGGCATTGGCGCAGGGGTGAGGCCACTCAGCTCTGCAGACCCAGTCCCTTTGGAGAGGTTTCTCTTTGGCAGGGTAGAAATACTTGCATGGTTTTGTTTCATTCTGAAGCGCAGAAAGTAAGTATGCACGTTACAGAAAAGAAGTCAGTTCTGTCACTCTAGAAGTTCCTGTCTGGAAATGCTCCCTCTTTCTACCCACTCCCAAGCAGTCTGCTGCAAGTCCTGTTTTCCTCCTTCTCTCCTTGACCTTTCTGGCTTCCTGTTCCCACCTGGCCTACACCTTCAGCAGCTGCATTTATCCTGGCTGCAGCAAAGTTTGGGTTTGGGAAGATGACTGTGCTGAGATTTATTTAATGCTGTTTGGTTTCTTCCCTCTCCCTAAACCAGAAACAACTGAGCTTGGCAACAAGAAGGAGTTGAAATCCATGCCTTTCATCACCTATCTCTCAGGACTGCTGACAGCACAGATGCTGTCTGATGACCACCTCATCTCAGGTGTGGAGATTCACTGCGAGGAGAAAGGGCGCTGCCCATCCACTTGCCATTTGTGCCGGCGGCCCGGCAAGGAGCAGCTCAGCCCGACCCCGGTTCTGCTGGAGATCAACCGAGTGGTGCCCCTGTACGCTCTGATCCAGGACAACGACACCAGGGAGGTGAGTGAGCTGGTGACGCGCCAGCTCCACCGCAATGACCCTGCTTTAGTCACCTCTCGAGTCTGCCTACCTCAGTCTCTGCGTAAGTGTTGGGTTCCCCGGCGTGGGGCGATGTTTCCACCTGCGTGTGTGGTGGGGGACACTTCAGGATGGTGTCACTGATGGAGCTGACAGATCCTGCTGCCCACTGCCGACAGCCCTGTGTCTTCCTCTCCTCGGGATGGGGAGGGCAGTGCCATAAGCACCCAGAGCCATGATCGTTCCTGGTGTGTGGGAACAGACAGCAACGTGTGGGCTGTGTCCTGCAGAGGGGTCTCAAGAGCCAGCCCTGGGATTGGTCTTCTACTCCTGGCTCTGATTTCTCAGCCGTAGCTGTGCAAGGGGTGGCCAAAGCCTGACTCAGGGCTCCAGTATGGCTTTGAAAAGCACCGGTGCAGAGTGGGGGACACCAACCAGCCCCTTGGGGCAGTCCTGCCGCCACAGGAGGTCACTGTTACTCCAGGAGGGACCAGCCAAACTGGAGGTCATCCTTCCCTGCGGCTGGGCTGCTCTGCCTCCTGCAAGAACTTCAGTCTTAATCCAATGGAGATTGATTTCCCACTTTCTCAGTTCGCTGGTGCCCTCCCACCCCTCTCCACAGCCCTCTAACCTCAGTCTTAAGTCCAAAAAATGACAGACCTGCTTAAAGTCACTTACTAGCACTGAGCCTGTGCTTGATTAAGATGCCTGGAGTGAGCCAGCATGCAGCAGCTGTGGGTGGGAAGCAGAGGGCTGCAGGTCAGGAAGCAATCCTGGCACATGGAGGTGTGACCACCAGGAATGACATTTCATTCCCTTCCCAGATTCGGGGGTGAAGAGCCCCTGTACTTCTGCTGGCACCCAAGTCCCTTGTGGGGACCGTCCCTTCTTGCCTACCTCTCGATCTTATTCCTGCTTTCCCATCTGTCAACCCTCCTGGTTCTTCTGTGCAGTCTGACTTCCATACCTCTCTGCTTCCAGCAATTTTCCTCAAACTCCCATTCTCCCACTATTTTCTCATCCTGCATATTTCCCCACCCATACCTGCTCTTCCCACTGGGCAATTCCTGTGTAGACATTGACCTGCCGTTATCAGCGCTGGGATGAGGCATTGTGGGTTCAGAGAAAGCAGTGGGAAAGTTGATTTCCTTCAGGCAAGAACGATGCAGTGTGCAAGAAGACAGTTCCTTTTGGGGTAACAGTGAAAGAGAGACCAGCAGGATCTCCCTGGACCTTGCTCACCACCAGCCTGCCTAGCCCTGTGCCCAGGTGGGTCCCCTTCTCCTCTGCCTCACCTGTCTCCCCTAGCCCTGCCGATGCTGCCAGCTTCACTTGGGGTGTCTCCTTGTCCTGGGGAGCTGGAGCCTGTTTTTCCATCGAGCAGCAGCCTTCTCCCCTCCCTGCCGTCCCTCACGCAGAGGGAGGGCTGGCCCCGTCCGCTGCAGCTGGAGGCCAGCCCACATTGTGCTTTCTGCTGAGGTGCCGGGAAAACCAGCAAAAAAACATACAAACAAACAAATCCTTAATGAAGCAACCAGACGAGAAGCCCCAGGCATCTTCCAGAGGGCTGCGTTCGATGCATCCCTCCTTCTCCTCGCTCCACCTGCTCACCCAGATGTGGAGAAGCACCCCCAGGGAGCCCAGGGGTTTCTCTTGATGGCGGCCCCTCTCATCCCTCCATCCCTGCAGCACATTCAAGGCCACCCCCATTCATCCTTGCCACAGCAGGACACAGAGTACTCTTTGCCTTCCATGTCCCTCCTTCTCTTTCCTGGCCATCCCCATTCCCTCAGCATGAACCTCTTGTCTTGCATCAACTCCTGCACTTTCCTTTCCCCTTCTTGCTCACTTCTTAAACCTTGATCTGATCCACCACCCTGTTCCCTCCATCCCCTCCTCCCCAGCTTGCTCATCACCGTTATATCCGCCAGCCTCTCTCCTGCAGGATATTTATTTCTCTCCCTCTTCTGGCCCATGAGACGGACAAATCCCGGTGCCTGGGGGCTGTGATCCATCGCTGCCAACACGGCACAAACTTCAGCTCTTAGCACTGGGCCTGGGCTGGGCAAACCTGCATTTCGGGAGGAGGTGGAGCTGATGGTGGCCTTGGCTGTGCCCTGGAGAGGATGGTTTGGTGCAGCACTAGTGCTGCCTGTGTGAGAACGTGCCCCCAGGCTTCTCGCAGCATCATGAGCTCAGGGACAAGGGATGCCTGGCAGGGGCAGCCGCATGGCCTTCCCCAATGAGCAAGGAGGGAGGGTGACCACAACAGGGAAGAGGGGTCTAGGGGACGTGAGAAGCTGCCGCCTCTATGGGGGCATCACCCTGTCACAGAGGCCCAGCAGCGTGCTGGGGAGCAGCTGGCTTGAGCCGCTCCCTGGCTCTGTGCACGAGGACAGGCTCCCAAAGGCTGGGTGCTGTCAGGATCTTCTCAGGTACGGGCTGGATGATGAAATGTCCTTTTTCAACATCAAGTAGGAGGCCTGGAGGGGTCCCAGGCACTAGCAGAGCGGCATTTCCCTGTGCCGTAAACAAGATCTGCAGACGCCTGGGCTGAGCCAAGTCCTGCACCCCTGAGCACCTGCCTGCTTTTTCCCCATTTGTGCGGGCAGTCATCAACACAGCAAATGGTGGCCTTATGGGAACTGCAAGCAGATCTCAATGCTCCTGTTATTTAAAAAATAATAATTGTAGACAATTAAGATCCTTCTCTTTCTATATATGTGCACATACATAGTTATATATATAGAAAGCACGGTCATTAATAAAGTGGATATTAATACCTATGAAGCTTGCTGGAAGTTTCCCGTATAAGCCTAGCAGCAGAGATGAAGCAAGACACAGGTAAAGACACGTTGCCCACTTCAGTATGTGTAGGTTTTTTTAGCTGGTTTGTCTTTTCATCTGCCTCAGGGCAGTGAGTTAGACACTTTTTAAAATTTACAACTACTGCACTGTACAAGGCCATGTTCTCAGTTGCTGACGACCTTGCCAGACTCTTAAGTGCTGGGGTTTAAGTTTCCATGCTGAGTGTCTGCCTTGGGCTGATTTGCGATTTTTCTATGCATGCATGTTTGATTTCAGCTAAAACTGACTGTTTCCAAGAGGGAGATTAGGTGAAAATGTATTGCTGTGCCCACATGAGATAAGCTGGACAACTCTTTATTTCCGTGTCATTGGGAGCTGCTGTTTTCTTCATGCTTTGAAGCAAGGGCTCGAAATTTAGAGGGGTTCCAGGAGTCAAGGTTTGTCTTTTGCTGCCCAGGGAGCATTTGTTCAGAGGCAATTGTGCTTCGAGCCTTAAGGAAACTCTCAGCTGAGTGAGATCAGCAGGGGTTTGGTCTGTCTCCCCAGTCCTGCCCAAGCATCGCTCCTGCTCCCAGCAGTGGGAGCTGTGTGGTAGAGGGCACTGTAAGTTAGCAACGGCTCCTCTTTCCCTTCCTGTGTGCAATGAAAACTGTGGAAGACCCAGCTAGGAGGTGTTTCTCTTTTGCTTTGTGGTTTCACGATGTTGGTCAGAGAACTTGCACCATCGCTGATAGCTGCAGCCTGGCCTGGGGACTTTGGAGGTGCTGAGCAAGGAGCCTTCCAGGGTCAAGTAAACGTGTTTTGAAGTCCAAGCACCTTTTGAAGGGCTTTGCTGAGTGCCTTTTTCATAGCCAATATGGCTGTGGGTGGAACGTTTCATAGAGGAAGGACTACTTGTTGGAACAGAAGCAGTGCTGGAGTCCTCTCTCCACCAGCGTCAGTCAGCTGGTGAGATTAAACTAATCCAAGCAGGTTTATGGCATCATTGCTGTTATAGCTTCATTGTTCTCCAGCCCAAATGCGTTCAAAAGATGTAAAGAGACAGAGAAGCTTCCCCCATCTGTCCCACTGCCAGCACTGGCCTGGGGAGAGGCACCGAGACCTGGAAGTTCCGGAGCTCCCAGGAAAACATTTGATGGGGATGTACGTGTGCATGGCCAGAGCCACAGGGCAGCTGTGGCCAGTGGTGGGGAGGAAGGGAGCAGA